ACGTTAATTTAGGGGTAGATCTGGAATATGGACAAAAGAGCTTAAGGATTAACCTCTTAATAAGAAGGAAAAGGACTTAGTCATGAATATAGGACGTTCCTCCAGGAATGATGGGCGTTCGTAGTTAGCCATCACATTTCTGGTCAAACTCATGTATGCCAAGTGTACAAGCTGAGTACATTGAGCCTACTCAGCTGTGTTGACCAGGTTTAACTTTTTTACTTTGACCAGGATTTATCCAAGTTTGACCTAAGGGTATTTTAGGTATTTTGATTTGTATTTGAGATTGCTCACTATTTAATGAATAGGTGACGGGTACAGTTGATATTCAGAGCAGAGACCTATTTAGCTATTTGTTCGGAATAAGAGGTGAGTTTTCCTCACTGTTCTTATGGGTCGAAGGAACCAAAGTCAAGCCACTAGTTTATGTATCCTGTTCTTATGGGTCGAAGGATTCCAACCAAGAGGTTGTGGGTCGAGGCATTCCAACCGTAAGGTTGTGGGCCAAGGGTGATCGAACTAGGAGGTTGTAGACTTGTTATGTATTGGGTAAGCCAACTGAAATGTTGTAGGCTGGGGCATTCCAACCGTAAGATTGTGGGCCAGGGGTAATCCAACCAGGAGGTTGTGGACCCGTTATGTATTGGGCAAGCTAACTGAAAGGTTGTGGATTGGGGAATTCCAACCGTAAGGTTGTGGGCTAGGGACAATCCAACCAGGAGGTTGTGGACCCGATATTTGTTTGGTTATATGTTTGTGTGGTGATACTTTGGGGGAACTCACTAAGCTTCGTGCTTACAGTCATTTGTTACGGTTTCAGGAACTTCAGATGATCGGAAAAAGCAAAGGCGTGATCGTGCACATCCTTCGGATTTTATGTTATTAGATGTTGGTATACTCTGATTTATGAACTATACTTTTGAAACAATGTTTCGGTAAACAGTTATTGATTTGGGGTTGTTTTTTATAAATGAAAATTTTACTCTAATTATTGGGAGGTTGCAAATTTGAGTATTTTTATGTGGCCATCGGTTGCGCAGTAATATTTCTTATATAATAAGTTATTTTAATTGTTATTACACGTGTGTTCAATTTAATTACTAATCTATTAATAATTATTGTGTAGGTTCGAGCGTTTCAAACATTTATGCGTCATTATTATTACTAATGGAACACATCTTATAGGGAAATACTTGGGCACGATGTTCCTAGTTGTAGGCATGGACGGTAATAACCAAATCCTCTTTTTTGCATTTGGTGTTGAGTGGGAATTCATGGATATTGTTTTGCCAAGACTCAAAGAATGTATTGGGTACATGAATGCTTTGGCTATCATATCCGATAGAGCGAATTCAATTGAAATAGTCATTCAAGCCATGTTTCCAAACATGTATCACGAACTTATTTCCGCCATTTGTTGATGAATATAAGAACAAAGATCAGCAAACAAGAAAGAACCAAAATTTATTTTTGGGAGGCTGAAAAGCCTACAGAGAGTCTAATTTCAAAGAAAGCTTGGCTAGGCTACGATGTGCCTTATTCGAAGACTGGTGCACATGGATAAACATAATTGGTAACAACAAATAGGCAAGGTTGGTTTTCCCTGTGGTTCGGTATACTATAATGACATCAAAAAACACTGATTCCATCAATGTGTTATCAAAAGATACACAAAAATTACCGATAACAATGTTATTTGACTTTCACCGAGCAACAATACAACAATGGTGGTGTCAACGACATCATGTTGGAGGTAATTAATTGAGTTATAGTCATTCCATGGTAATTCTAGTATAATTTACCGTGCATAACAAGATATACATATTTTTTATAGCTCAAAGCGAAAAAAATATTATTAAGTATGCTAAGAAGGTTATAGAAAGGAGGATCAACAAATCCTCTAGTTTTCAAGTATACTAGATTGATCAAAGAATATATGATGGGACTGACCAAATGAAAAATGGTATAGTTAACTTGGAATCTCGTTATTGCACATGTACGGAATAGAATTATCTATATTTTGTTATCATGATATAGCGGTATTCAAGGAACTGAGATATCAACACTATAGACAATGGATATCACCGTACTTCACAATGGAAAAATATTGATCAACATATATAGAGTTTGTGTTTCGTGTGCTAGTTCTAGTTCAATACGCACAACCAGATAAAGTCATGGTTGTATTACAACAATTTATAGACAACTGATAAGTTGGATGATCACGAAACCATAACTATATCCCATCTCAAGGTAAAGGTTTGATTCAAAAAATGAAGTCATTACCTAAGAATCATTCATACAAGCAGAAATCGTGAAACTCAGTTTCTCACAGATTCAACAAAAAACTAAATCTTCAAGTAGGACTAAGTCAAAAGAAAGGATAAGTCGAGGAGTAGATCTAATGTCAAAACTACTCAAAACACAAGTCAAGAGTATGATATTGTTGATCTAAATTACTTGTTGTCATGTTTGTAGCAATTGCATTATTCTAGAAGTTCTTCAGTCACAATAATTTGTTTTTGCTACATCGTGAGGAAATTGTTTAAAACATACACAAAAAAAACACCATAACTCAAATATTGGGGTAATTTGTAGCATTTATCCATGGCAAACTCTCGAAACACCACAAAGCAGCATGCTCCTGCGGAGTAGGCTGCAACAGCTCGTTGGGGGGGGGGTGCAAAAAACAAGATATATATATATATATATATATATATATATATATATATATATATATATATATATATATATATATATATATATATATATATATATAAAGGTTATTGTTTTGTTATTTTCTCATAGAAAGTTATAGATTATAAGGTAAACTAGGATACATACATTGTTAACATAAAAAATACATTCACTATCAGCAGCGTGTAAACGTCTCATCCTAGGGTATGTAACTACGCAAGGGATAACACCATGTATAGGGGATCCAACTCTACTTAATATTGGGAAATGTCTCCATGATCCAAATCTACAAAATTAATAAATCAAACAACTAATCAACATAATAATGTTACAATAGTTGTTACTTAAAACTATTATTAAACACCGTGGACATACCTTAAATGCATAGACAAATCTTTGTACGGTATACGTGTGTCTACTGCCGACTCTTGGCTCGATGGGGTTCAAATGCTCCTTAATCTTATTAAAAACAGTACATAATTATTTGTAAGTGAAATCTCATACTACTCTACTTCATGGATATTTGTGTCAACAATTTCATTTAATACGTATATATATCATTTGATATAATATAAATAATTGTATATCTGTTAAACTCATCTAAATTGAAGAGGAGTGCAAGAATTTCATCAATAACCGGTTGTCAAGGGTATTTCCCACAAAATTCTTGTTGTAGCATACACATCAGGGAGACTCTCACAACGTCTACATCTTCTAAATGATGAAGTAAGTTATTGAACACATGCATAACGTCAAGCACTTTCACTAAACATGAAGGCAACACAAATGGAAACACACGTTCTCTGAACTACACCGAAGATGAAGTTAGGAAGAAATAGTCCTTAAACTGCAAGCCGGTAATAAGACAGAAAGTTTTCCTATCAAAGCAAACCCAGTGGTCGTGTACCGAAAATAGAAGCTCATTCATGTTAACTCGAGGATAAGTAGTATATTTCTTTCACATAAGATAATGACAGAGTAAAGAGTGACATTCGACACCCATCAACATGTTAACATAAACACCAAAACAAGATGTCCTAAACATGGTCGCACATTATGCTATGTGTTATAAACAGGCCATGATTTCTCGGCCGAGTTCAGGCCATGTTACAACCGCTTTATATATTATGTCATGCTACAATCAAAAGAATTATAATTAGGCATTTGTTGCATGTTCTAGAGGCCATTCAGGAACACAATTTTGGATTAACATATATATATATATATATATATATATATATATATATATATATGTGTGTGTGTGTGTGTGTGTGTGTGTGTGTGTGTGTGTGTGTGTGTGTGTGTGTGTATGTTCCGGAGGATATTCCAGAAAAGAATTATGGGTCGACACTTCGGATCAACATTCTGAAATACCATTCTGGATCAGTTCTATGCATATCAGACCTGTTCTAAATATTCTAGACATCATCTTCGTATTTCAAAGTCATTCGGACTTTTTAGAACTATGATTTTTTAAGAATTGTTGATCTAGTGCACACACATACTCACATGTAATAATACAATAGCCTAAAAACCACTAAAAATCGAAGAAAAACAAATAATACTTGTGTAATCACATCAAAGCACACAAAATAAACAAAAATATCTACTTTTTAACATATAATATTAAATAAAGACATATAATTCTAAAGATAATCGAAATGTACATATAAAAAAATGAATCTCTTTATTGCTAGAAGAAAGCATTCTTTCAGTTAGATTTGTGGTTGGAATGAAGTATGAAATAATTCGAAATGTTATTTACATGAGGGATAATAATTACCCGGTAGGATCTCTATACCATTTACTCATTTTCCAAATAATTTTTTTTATAGTAATTTTTTAAAATAGTTGTTAGATTCCTAATTTCCTTAATATAAATGTGCTTGTTAATGATATTAAGTTGACCCCAACTTTTCTCATTAGTATATACTATTAACTAGGTGTGAGACCCGTCTATTATACGGGTTAATTTAAAAAATGATTAAACTTAAAGTATAAAAATGAAATATTTTTTAATTTACAACTATATAATAAGAAAGAAAGAAACGTATTTATTATAATTTAATATCATATATATCATATTTAATACTTTACATATATAAAAATATGACTTTAATTAAAAATTAAAACAAACCAAAAATTGACAAGTGGATAATATTTATTTCAAAATTACAACAAAATGACAAGTATCAAAAGCCATGAAAAATTAACAAGTGACAAAAAAAAAACCTTCATTAAGGAGGATTCTTAAAACCTTAGCTATAATTAACTTTTTTTCTCTTTCATAATTTAAGATGGAAGTTGTATTTCTCATTCTCTGCACTAAACTTCGTTTCCCTTTCATATTCTAATAGCAAACCGCCAGATTCTGTTCTTATCCGCTTTCATTGTTGCTTGCCGCCATCCTTCTCCAATACTATTTCATTCGATTTTCTTTATTTCATCTTTCTTTCTTCTTTACTCTTCCCTGATCTTCCGGTGCGTTCTTATTCTCCCTCGCAACATTAACGAAAAAAGGGGAGGTCGGCCGCAGATGCACCACTGGAGAAGCCAGCACCATAGCCAGAGGCTACCGAAAACAATGTGTATGGTAAACCATTTTTCCTATTTTTGATTTCCCGGTTCATATTAACATCTCTAACCATTCAGATCTTTCTCCCTGATTCAGTACTTGCCAAATCCAGACGGTTAAATGAAGATGATGGGGTTTACGGTGGCTACTAGCCAGCTCTAAGCGATAATTTATGTTAATTTCCGGTGGTTGTACAGGTTCACGGAGGTGGATTTGTGACCGAAAGTAGTGTTTAGTTGGCGAATGATCTGTTTTGTAGGAGGATCGTCAAGGCGTGTGATACGATTGTGGTGGTGGTAGGGTATAGGCTTGCACCGAAGATTAAGTATCATGTAGTGTTTGAGGACGACGTTGAGGCATTGAGTTATTTAGCTAAGCAGGCGAATTTGGCCGAGTGTACGATCTCAGGTCGCGTTAACCTCAGGAGGAGACAGATTGTTAATGGTTTTGGTTCTTTCATGATCAAGCCTTGGATTGTTGCTCATGTCGATCTTTCTAGGCAACAAATCTTCAATAATTGAAGTCCTTAATTATCTCTTACAATCTATTTTGATTTGGGCACAATCCTAACTGTTCCATGGTTAAATACACTTATCACGATCTGTTAACTTGTATACCTCTCCACACGAATCTATCTATCACACAGATCCTCAATGAAAGGCAAAAACAACGTATTGATTTCTTCTTGGTTTTATTACCATTAACAGGTATGTCCTCCTAGGTGTAAGCTGTAGTTCGAACATCGCAAATTATGTCACACAAAAAGCAGTAGAACCTGGGAACCTATTAGACCCTTTAAGAGTGGTGGCACAAGTTCTTATATACCATTTTGTAATCGGAAACACTCCAACAAAATCCGAAATCAAGCTGGGTAACTCTTACCTCTATGACAGATCCATGGCCATGTTTGCTTGGAAGCTTTTCTTATCAGATGATCAATTCAATAGTGATCATACGGCTGCCAACCCTCTGATGAAAGCTACAAGAATACCATTACAACAAATGCCTCCTACACTCACAGTAGTAGCTGAACATGATTAGATGTGTGATCATACCATTGCAGGTGAAGTGAAATTGATGACAGTTTAATAGAACAGGTTTCCAATTACACATGAAATTTAATTATACCCTATCCAATTGATATTGAGTTTTGAAATTGAATTTCACCATGCATCCCAGCTGCTTGATGAAATGCTTGAACCAGGGTGGCCCTTAGTATATTTTTTTTCGTTCTTACTAAAGGTAAAAAAAAATTGTTTATTAGGGTATTCTGATCTTTTAAACGTGGGTTCAAACTACAGTCAATTTTTTAAGATTAACGATCCATACAAGTGGACAACTCATCACAAACAACCTATGAATCATGGGTTCTACAAAGTACCAATTATCCTAAGGTAAATGTTTCACAATTACTTTCCTACCCTTTAAGTGATTCCAAAATCTTTGTTCTGAGATGGGGATTTGCAACAATTAGTGCATCAAATGGAGTATTTAAGGGCATCCAATGCTTAAGTTATTGAAATTTTATTGTTTGTGGGTGTCTCAACTCCACCTCTTCTTTAGTACAAGTCAGAGAGATGCATATGATTCTTTAGTGTCTTTGTGCTGAGGTGATTGTGGATTATATAGGGAGGCCAAGCTGTTGCTTTCTTGTATCATTTTTTTGTTTTTATTTTATTTAAAGACCTTTTTTCTTAACAGTATCCTTTTGTTGTTTTTATTTTATTTAATGACCTTTTGTTGTTTTGGGACCAAAAACCCCTTCATTTATTATCTTTGTTTCTTGCAGGGGCCATAGAAACAAGAAAGAGAACCTTTAGTTGCGAATCTTCTTCAACACAGCCCACTAAAAATACCCAGAAGCGGAGCAGTGTTTGTGTTGTTAGAATTCCTTTCTTTAAATAAGAGGTCGGTCAATCACTTTTTTGATTGCTCATTTGATTTTATGTGTTCATGATTGATGATGCTTCTGGAATCTCCTGTTTTTTAGGTTGTTTGTAGCCTTGCTTAGAAGTAAGATCTGCAGTCACCATCATCTTCTGATAAGGGTTTTCTCTACGGGTAGTGAAATCCATTTTCAATTCCTAAAGCCTCAATAAATAGCATAACTAATTGAGGACATGTTTGGGTATATGAGTTGTGAAATTGGAGTGTCTCACTTCCTCAATTTTAACTACATATGTTTCTCCATTGATGATATTCTTCTCCTTTTTCCTTTCAATTGACATTGATTATCTTCCTGTATAAACATCTTACTGCACCTGGAATTAGGTTGAAATTATCATGTTTATAGGTTTACGTGTTGGTTGTGTTGCATTGCTGATTTTTTTTTTTTGATAAATTTGGCTTTTTTATGTAGAAAGATACTATTAATAAGGAAACTTTCAACAGTTTAGCCGAATTATTGAAATGAGGTTAGATAAATTTTAATTTCCATCATGAATAATATTGTATTGAATCATTATTACTCTTAATAATAAGTTTGATATTTTTTTGGCTTCCATAACATGTTTCCTTTGCGAAAAATGAAAAATATCATACCAGCGTGAGATATGAAAAAATTACCATTTTAAATGTCCAAAAAAAGTTCGTGATCAAGATTAAGACATGATAAATTGGTGCATAATGTTGAAAACTTATATATTATAGCAGTGTCAAAGACTTTTATGTTATTATATTTTACATAAATCATAAAATCATTCTGGTGCAGGAAGATTGGAGGATATGAGGAATCGTAAGTCCAGTTAAGAACCAGGATCATTGGATCTTGAGGTAAACTTTTTAGGTCTCCTTTCGGTGATTTAAGTTTTATGCATAAATTCTTATATTCTTTCTTTTTATTCTTTCTAAATTTTGCTCAATCTTCTATTTTTTAAATTTATTTATTATAAGTTCTATCTATTACTATGGATGAAATAATTAAACGCTAATTCTTTTGGATTGAGAATGTTAAGAAATGGCTAAATGCAAACAATATCAATGTATTTTAGTAAAAAAAAAATGATCATTGCATTTTACTTTTTTTTGTTAGAAGATTGTGTCTGTCACTTTTAATCTTATTAACGTGTTGCACTTTGGAATAATCTAGGTCAAAAAACACATAAATTTAAATCACAAAATATTTAACCACAATCATAATAGATACAATTCCGGTGTTACAAATTGCAAAGGTAAAAAATAAAAGTTTTTTTTCACTTTAATTATAGAAATCAACTGTCATATTGCAATATGTAGAAAATTTTGTTCTTTTTCTCACTTTTCATTGTTTACGGAAGAACAACCATCTTAGAAATACAAAAGTACAATCATTCGTTAAATTATACTTTTATATGACACCCTAAAAAAAAGAAATCGTAATTTTATTTCATATTTTTGATATCCTGAAAAGAAAGTAGTTCAAATATTTAGAAATCATAGATAATCATTGCTTGAGGAAATCTCAAATCATTGTAATTAATAATTGACTTTGTTTATATGTTAGGATATTACATTTGGAGGAGATACCGATGCAAATAACCAACCGCAGGTTAAATCTTATGGTGGAAAGAAAAATCAGACGAAGAAGCATTGGTAAATCCAAAACAACACATCTTCAAGCCGAGTACTAATTTTATTGTGTATGTTATTCTTTTTAGAGATCACAATTCCAGGGATACATGTGATTGATATTTATTTTTTACTATGTGTAAAACTTATGTTATTATATGGGTTAATTAAAAATTTTAATATAAATCTAAATATTTAACAAATTTTGATTTATAAGAAAATAAGTAAAATAATGAATTATTAAAATTGATTTTTTTTATCTTTTAAATTTAAATAAATAAACTAATGAGTTTTAATTTAAGAATTTTGAAACAAGAATCTACGTTTATTAATGAAATTGATATTCATTTATTACTATATTTATTATAATTATTAAATTAAAGTATTATGTAAAATTTATTAAAATAGAAAAACTCATAAAATGACATATAAAAAAAAATTAATTCAAAATAACCACAAAATGATATTTAACAAATTGAATGAAAATGTGACATGTGGTAAAAACATTTCATTTATTAGAATTGATTTGATTATTAATTATTTTCTTATAAAATAATATTTTCTATGTAACTAGTATGAACAACCCTTTCATATATGTAATATTCTATCGTAAAAATTATAATATGTTTTCTTACTTGCTACAGTTTGAAATAACAGAGAAAAAAAAAAATTCCAAAGACACAGCTAATTCCAACTAGTTTATTTAACTCTCAAGTTTCAAAAGACACAGTAAATTCTAGGGATGAGCAAAAGAACCGGATCGGAACCGGGAACCGGCTTCGGCCAAAATCAAGAATTGAACCGGCCCGGCGGTTCTACCGGTTCCCGGTTCCTACCGGTTCTTGTTGTGTCTTCAAATGTTGGAACCGACCCTCGAAAAATAGCATCATACGGTTCCAGTTTTTACCGGTTCTACCGGTTTTTTTCCGGTTCTACCGGTTTCGGTTATATCGGTTCCGGTTATATTGGTTCCGATTCCTACCGGTTCCCGGTTCCAAAAATCAACAAAAATAACGTCCCGGTCCCGGCCCGACCGGTTCCATCGGGTTCCGGTTCCGTGCCGGTTCCGGTTCCGGTACTGGTTCCCCGCTCCATATGCTCATCCCTAGTAAATTCCATCTAGTTTATTTAAGTCTCAGGTCTCAACGGATGAGTGATGACATCATGGCCTTACATAGAAAGATTGTAATGGGTATTTTACCCGACCCGACCTGAACAAATAAATATGGCTAGAGAATGAACCAATAAAACAGTTTGCTTCCAAAGGTGTCTTGTCATGTACTATTTTCTTTAATTCTTATCCTTACTTGCCACCTCATCTTTTCTTCTCCTGCAACGTGTATGATGAATCAGATATTTATCAATATTGTATTTCGAACCACAAAGCCAATAATTGCTGCGGTAGGCTTACGTTATATAACAAAAATACAATTTTACGGTTTTCCCCAATAAAGTCATTTTCCTTCTTTTATTTTCTCGTTTTTTTAGTTTTTCTTTTTATCAAGTTAACGAACCTTTATATGTCAAGCATTCCTGAAAGTTTTATACGGGCAAACGGCAACAGGCTTATTATAAATCGTACTCATCTTCTTGAAGTACCTAATATACTTTTGTTTTTGCTTTAAATTTTTGCTATAAAGAAAAGAGAAAAGATAAACGACGCCGTATGATGAAAGAAAAAGTGGGGAAAAGAAGATAATAATCGGATAAATAAATAAATAAAATGACAAGACAGTGGATTGATTACTGGGACAAAATTCACATCTTTGTAACTTTGTGAACCGAAGGATGGTGATTCATTCAACATCATCATAAAGTAAGAAGATTCAATCCACCTTCTTAATTTCGCAGTCAGATCTTACCACCCGCACCAACTTTCCCATCAATCCCTGGTGAGAATTGAGATACTTTACTTTCAGTTTCTTCCTTCTCTCTCATCTTCGTATGTTTTCAATACTCTTCTTAAATCTTAATCACTCACTCTTTGTGTATGTGTCGCTATTGCTATTAAAGACGACAGAACTCCATCTCCATGGTGGATTAGTAATTACTCATGTGTTAAATTATTAGTTATTTCAAAGATGTTTGTGTAAGTAGCTTTTGCGAGTCTTTCTGTATTATCTGGTTGTAGAAATCGGATCTTTCTTTTTTGTTCTTGTTTCTGATTCAAATTTTCATTCTGTTGACCGGAATATCAAATCCTTTGTTCATTTATTTATTTTGGGTTTATCATTTTGAGCGCCTTGATTTAGGTTTCGCGAATTTCCGTCTGAGATGAAACCCGATTTCTAGAAAAATATCATAAAAATCTGCAAGGTTTGACTGAAAACGCTGATCAATTAAGTCGAGCATAGGAGTAAGGGCTTAATATTGCTATTCACTTGTTTTGGTAACTGCTCCCAAACATACATAAAATTAAAATATGTGTATTTGTTCTGACTTGTGTTTGATTGCTGGCAGGTATAGATATAGTATGCAGTGTCATCTGATGAAATGGTGAAACTGTATATATGTGTATAGGTGTATTACTGAAGCAATTAATGGAATAAGTGAGTAATGGCTGCAGCTGAAGCAAGAGCAGCATGGCAACGAACTGCAAACCGTTGTTTTGTCCAAGAAGATGCAAAAAGGGCTCCCAAATTAGCATGCGTCCCTCCAGCATCCTCGTCTTCATTGTTTAAACAAGGGCAAACCGACACTAGTAGACCTACTACAAACGGGAATGGGATGGACGATTTTGCCCCTCCCACTGCCAACTCCATGTACTCGAATCTCTCTTCAGACTCAAGGTGGTGGCTTCATTTGCAGCCTAACCCTAGTAACTATATGTACCAAAAGGAGCAGGTCAGCAGCACATTGGAATTTGTCGACATTATGGATTCTGAATCAAGTGTGAAGGGTTGTGATTTAGGGGAAGAGTCTTATGAGTTTGTGGAGATGGATTCTGGTTCTAAACAAGTGGATGAGTTCAGTTTGGGGTCTGAATTCCCTCACTGGATGGAAAGGGAGACTGAGAATAGCCATGAGGAGCTGGCGCTGCCATGGTGGCACAAAGATGACCTGGCATCCTTTGTGGCACAGAGATCACAAGATTTCATGGAGAATTGTGATCTGCCTCAGCCTCAAAGTTCAAACACAAGTTTCACCTGTTTTGGACTTTCAAAGCCACAAAATTCAGCAAGCAACCATGGTATCGCTGTCAGGTATGTACTTTGACCATTATTTATTATTATTATTATTTTTTTTTTCAAATCTGTAACTCATATTCTTATCTGGTCAGCCCTTTAAGTACTAGTACAGTAGTGGTTGATGAAGGAGGTGAGATGGATCCAAGCAAGCGAAAGCTGTTAGAAGCACTCTGTCATTCTCAAACACGAGCAAGGGAAGCAGAAAAAGCAGCAAAACAGGCTTACCAGGAGAAACAACATGTTGTGAAGCTCATATACAAACAAGCTTCTCAGTTATTTGCATATAAGCAATGGCTCTATCTTCTACAACTTGAGAATCTTTATAACCAAATCAAAGCAAACAAGATCCCATCAGCTTCTCCATGGAACATGCCTCCTCGAAAGAAACCTCCCAAGAGGAAAACACGAGGAGGACCCAAAGAAGAAGATGATGATGATGATATAATCGGTAAGTATGCCATGGCTTTTGCTGTTGGATTAGGGCTTGTTGGTGCAGGTTTGCTTCTTGGGTGGACTGTTGGTTGGATGTTTATCATTTAGTATGTTTCAAGCAATTAATTGTAAGACCTAGTCCTAGTGTACAAAACTTGTTTTCTTCCAGTTCTTAGCTAGCAGACTGATGTATATAAATATAGTTTTGTAATGAGTTTGCAGTTAAACTCTCGTGTTCATCATGTGTCACAATCTCATATATGGATAATCGTATTAGTAACTTCCAGTCAGTTAGTCTCTATTTGCCAAGTCATGTACATATAAAGATCTCCCCATCTTCTCATGTGTACGCATGCTATATTGGAACAATGTAAATCTTTGTTTCATTTGTTTAGTTTTTTATTTGGTTGATTGTTTACGGTTTTCGTTTGAATATTGTATGTTGGTGTCTTGGTTGCCAATTATTTTTCGATTTAGTTTAGTTTCCTCAACCCATTTGTTGGTGTATGTGTGTTTTCGGGGTTGTGAACGGTTATGGTATAAAATCCCAACAAGTGATATTAGATTCACTGTTTTAGATATGATCTAACAAGTGCTATCCTTTAAGATAAATATGTATCCGCATTTTCGAAAATGTCATCTTAGGAAGTCAATCCAAACATCACATATTTTTCTGTTTTTTTTTTCTCTTTTAAGAATTTAACTTGTTTTAGTATCTTTGTTACGGTTGTTATTTGTTGTGGATTGAACTCATTTGAAGTTTCAAGCCATTACCATTTTTGTGGATGCATATATTATAGATGGTGTTTGCATTTGACCCTCTTCACATGATTCATGGAATTCAAAAGGTACTTTGTATTATCAGAGGTGTTCTTTGATAGAGATAGCGGAGATCTGGAGACTTATTACTTTGTCGTTGAAGGGAGTTGTTTGAAGTTCGGACATTTGCTCAATTAGTCCTTCCACTTTTCAATTTGCCCCGGTGATTGTCTCTCCACCTATCCAATCTACCACAGTTCGTTTGATACATTGGTTTTCTTGTCTATAGATAAAGGAAAATTTTATATACTATAGACCGTTTTGACACGAGTGGTTGGCATTGTTACAACTTACATGTATATAGGTTATGCAAGCAATGAAATAAAAGCAATAAAACTACATAGAAAATTAGCATGGTTCGGTCAATGCAACATACCGGCAGGAATCGGAGGTCTTCTATTATTCAACTATTTTCAAAGTGAATACATTGGAATTTCTAGCTACGAGAAATCGTCGGGTTTCTTCATAATATTATGCTCTGTTGTTTATTCTTTATTATGATCATTAAAATCCAAGTCAAGCTTTAAGGCGGGAGGGATGACCATTTTGAAGTTCATTTTCATAAATCTCAGTTCAGTCCTTATGAAGCATTATAATATTTGGATCCAAAATCAATTTGTTAGAGATCAGAACACGATGTATCCTTATGAAAGCGAAGCGTTGAGGAATGGTTATTTTTGGATCATGACTTCAACATATTAACGAAATAACCTTAAGGACCAACACGTTTGTATGAGGATTGGTTTGTTACCTCTTATGGACGACTCATCCTACCATGTATGTTTTTACCTTTGATTCGTCTTGTAGATGATGAACAAAAGCCACTAGAACAACCAAGACCATGAATGTTTGGATGGAAACCCTTGCGAGAAAAACCACAAGCATTCATATTTTATTATAAATACAACCAAGAACATATAAATACAACCAAGAACATGTATAAATGGAAACTTGAACTAATTTTAACATTATATTAATGAACTGATTTTGACATTATATTAATGACACTTAGAAGAGATTTGGTTTGAGATGCCCCACAAATTTGAGTGAACATAATGAAAGGTTGGTGGTGTGAACCAAAGTGTTGATTTTCACCCTCGTGGTTGCCAAATCGATAATATCTAATCTTTTTGGTATTTATATAATAAGTGCTATGGATTTTGAAATTTCATAAGTGGAAGGGGTATCTAAAATTGTCAATTTTTAAAATTTAACAGGGGAGAGAAAATCAAAATGGTAGGTATAGCAGAACCTACAATAGTTGTGCCTCAAAGATAATAGCAAACATTTAATTTTCTTAGATCCCGTTTGATGGTTGCTTACGAGAAAATATTGATTGGGAAAGGTATGGGTAATAAATTTTGACCAACTAAGAAATCATGTTGTTTGATTGTACATCTGATTTAATGTGTGATTGAATGTGCTGACCAATGAAAAATTACCATTTTATCATGTTGCTCTATATTGTGATGGATGAAGTTGTTGAATAAATATAGAAACATATAAATTGTATATAAAATGTAAATTACACACAAGTCAATTAAAAATCCAAATAAATATTATTTGAATGAATAGGCCATGATCAAATTTTATAAGTTATCATATCAAAATTTTATAAATGGGATCTTATTTGATTCACTGATCTCGATCTCAAGTGTTTCCTTTCTCTTTCTTTTTCTTTTCCTTCCTCCTTGTTGTCAAGAACACACCACAATGATGGTTGTTTTCTTTTTCCGATGTGACAACCCGAAATTTCTATCTCGAACAATAGATCGATTCAATCAAAGTTAGACTCGTTTTGCTATCTTTTAACACTGTTTAGGGTTTATTTGAGTGTTCTAAACCAATTACAATCAAGGTAGGAGCCTAGAAATGAAATAACACGATGCAAATCAAGCACACTCCGGCCAAACACTCCAACACATGGAGAGTGCGGACGTACACTTGAGTGTACGGCCACACACCCGTTCCAGCCACACACTCTCGCCTATAAATATGACCCTTAGTCATTTTTGAACACTTTTACCTCTCCTTAAAAGCTAGAACTCGTTTTCTCTCAAGTATCATCCACATTTCTCTTCAAATCTTCAAACCAAGTGAATATTGCTTCCTTGATTCATTAATAACTTCTTATATGCCAAGAACACTTGAAGATCTGCATGAAAAATGTCAAATATCATGATCTTCAGGTGTGTACAGCCGCACACACCATGTGTACGGCCGCATACACTATGTTCAACCATACACACCCTTTTTAGGTCCTAAAATGGCAACGAACTCCATATAAGGCTAGAGCATGAAGTAACAAACCTTCCTAGATGAGTCCTAAGGCCTTAAAATACGTTTTTACACACTTCATGGGGAGTATGCGCCCGCACACACACCCTGGCCGTACACACACACAAATGGTGTATTTTGACCATACACTCCCTTGTATAGCCATACACCCCTTATATGAAATCATATATTGTTGTAACACTTCAATATAAGTATTTACTAGTCCCTAAGGTGGCCCCAATTCAATAATTAGTTGTTACAAGCACTAATTATATATATCATTGCATGGTTAATAGGATTCGTTTGTGCTCAAGTCCGCAATTGACACTTAAATTCCTAAACCGATCTCACAGTCGCATCACTCACTACAGGTGAGTTCATACCCCTTAATCAACATTTTAAATGTTTTTAAATGCTTTTATGGGGGGGGGGGGGGGGGGGGGAATACAAGTTGAATCATTATAGTTATAATATCAATCACATGTGATTTACTATACTTTAATTGCTTTGTCAACAAAACTACTTCAAAATGGTTATCAAACACTTTTACATGTTAAGCTCTTATTAAAACTTAGTCTTAGTTACCAAACCTTTACTTTCAATTCTTTAAACTTATATATTGCCAAATCATGTCTAATGCATACATAGTTATATAAGTAAGGTTTGAAGGACTTAGGACTGATAACTCACTTTAATTCTTGTTCCTTGTTTGGTTGTGGACTTAGAGCACCCTGTTGTTTGTCCGAGTGTTGTTTGATCCTTAGTTATATATCATGTTTATATGTGTGGATATAAAGCTTTTATTTCAGTTCCAACACTTTGGGTAGCAAAGGTGTATATACTTACTAAGTCATTTATACAACATTACTAGTAAACTATAATAGGTATAGTTTAGATGCATACTGCATACTATTTCTAATACATATTGTAAACAATACATACACCACACTATACAACTGAACATACTACACACTAGAAAGAGAGAACATACACTGTTACATAATATTCATACACACTAAATACTATACTAAAGAACATACTATGATGAGAATCAGAGAGAACATACAATACATACATAATATAGCATAAATGGGAGGCACTACTTCGGGGCATGGCATCTCTGCCATGGCTCGTTTTGTAACCAGAGTCTTCCGAAGGGAGAGCGTAAATTTGTGTATAGATTTATATTGGATTGACCGTCCTACACCTTGTTGCTAGCTACAGTGGGACTTGCAGGTCTTCGAATGATGAATGTCATACCATCTCGACGTCTTCGAGCGTCGTGTTTTACTAAGGTCGATCAAGTATGGTTAAAATTATATCACATTATACCTTAATTAGCAATTGGTTTAAGGTAGTTACTACAACAGTAGTCTCTACGACATAATACTATAGTACTTCATTATTTTCCCCATTACATCTACTTTGTGAACATTTCCCATAAACAGTAATGTAAAAACTATATTTTATTAATGATGGTTACATCTGGGAGGAATACTTACTTTTACAATTAACAAACATACAACACATTTAATTCCTTAGTAGAAGGATACTTTTAGTAGAAAATATAGGATTTTCTAGGAGATACAAACAGTTACTACAAATGTGAATTCGAACATACAAGGATCCGAAGGCAATGCCCCAAGGTACGGGGTTTCAAGGGGCAGAGCCCCTAGCGGTGACTTGTTAACTAAATGGATTTTTATATAAAGAAAGAGTTGTATCTATTAAGTATTAAATACCCTCTTTTTGGCGCCAAATTGGTGTAACCAAAATTTTTTAATTACTTTCTTTCCTTGTATAAATGTTATTTGAAAATTGTTGACCATTCACATATTCGAAATTGATCATTAGTAACTCTATGTCTCTCAAAAACACAAAAACATCACAAATGTATTTTGTATTTTATGATTTTGAATTAGGTTTGTAATCTAAATCAAATTTTTTGGATTATCCAACTTTTGAATTCATATACCCAAAGGCTATAAGGATGAATTGCAAATTTTCAAAACTTATTTTTGCCCACCTCCTTCGTACCTAATTTTTTCGATAGAAACTTTTACACTTTTATGGTTCACTTATAATCTAAAGTCTCCGACTTGTTCTTGTGCAATATTCATAAAACTAAAAGAAATGTGAGCATTAAGAATGATAGGTTGGCTTTGACAAAATGGTAGTTTTGCAAGGAAAGGAGTTTGAAAGGATTGAGATATATGAAGTTTAAAAGTTGGTTAATTCTTTAATAGAATCTCCTACCATATTTAAGAGTAATCTGAACATTAAATAATGTGTATATGAAGATAATTACAAAAAAAATAAATATAATAAATACCTATTTTGTCCGAAATAGACACCCCACACTGAAAAAAAAATAAAAAACATTTTGCCTGACAATAAAATAGATTCCGCACCAGAATTTTGGAATTTAAGACTAAAATTTGGGATTTCAAAGAAAAAAAAAACTCCAAATTTTCCAAAACAAATAACAATTCTGGAATTTCGAGAAAAAAAATTGTTTTTAGTTCTGGATATCCAATGAAAAATTCTGGAACTCTGAAATTTGAAGATTTAAACATTCCGGAGTAAGTGGCCATTTTTCAAAAACCGGAGAAAAAAAACTCATTTATAATGATTGGTTTATTTAATTTCCCTATATATTTAATGCATAGTTAATCAGCAGAAAACAGGTATGATGGGTTTGTATATAAAAATTTAGGGAAAATGAAAAATACGATAGGATGTTGAGGAACAAGAAACCTTGCTTGGTATTCATTCATATAATACCTGAATCAATGACTTTGGTTACACACAACACAACACAACACAACACATGACATGACATAAAAGAAAAAGAAAAGAAAAGAAAACACTCCTGGTCTTGCCAAAATGTGGATTTCACCATATATATTATATATTATATATATGTCACCTGCTGCTATTTAACAAAACAAGTTCAAAACTGTATGAAATCCCACGCTCCATCCACATCCACATCCACATATCACATCCTGCCATACAAAATATGTACGGGTGGTTATAGAAACAGCCATCAACATTCATGCATGTCACAACTCACAAGCAGGGCAGGCAGGCAGGCAAGCAAGCAAATAGATATGAGATGAGATGTCATGTCATGTCACATGTTTAGTATTATAGTATATCCATCCATCAGAGACCAAATCCTAATGTTTATGTTTTACCAAAACAAACAAACTCAAACTCTAAAGGTCAGACCACTTTTCAAGTAATAAAACATTACCTTACAAAAAATGCTAATTCAATTCAATCAATTCTTCAGACTTCAACTACATTGCCTTTGCCCTTTGTAAATTGTGATTGATCGGATGTGACAGATAAACCACAAATCAAACCTAACATACCATGTTCATGTTATCACTCTACATGCCCCATGGAAAGCGCAGCTAAATTAGGTTGTTGCCCTCTACTCTAGCAAATACATTTATTTTCCAAATTCGTCAAATTAAAATTTTAAAATAAATAGATAGAGAGAGAGATTTGGCATGATAACAAGCAAGACATACTGCTATAGATATATATATATATATATATATATATATATAAACATTAACAACATCATGGAGTCTTACCTGTGTCTTTATAGTATAGCAAGATTGTAGGAATTGCATAGGTGAGCAAGGGCAGCTTGATTAGCAGGAGAAAGATATTTGGTAATAAGTGGGGGGAACCTCCCACGGAATTGAGAAGAGAGATTTGAGAGTAAAGCAACGGAAAAGTGTTTTGGATCAGTGATCTCCTTGAGAGGATCCTCTTCTTTTTTACCAGCATTGTGAAGACGAACAAAAGTGGCCTGATAACCGGTAGTTGCCTCCCCACCAAAATCAGGAACTTCGGGTTCATCCTCAACTCTTTCCTCCTCTGGCAGGGACAGAAGAGTGACAATACCATCCAGCAACCTCCCCCACAGCTCCTCCGCTGCAGGATCCAACAGGGATGCCGATTCACACAGCAGTTTGCTTGATGCTACTGCACTCAGCTTCACCTCCGTGTAGCCGGTTATGGTCTTCAGACTAGGTATCCAAAACTGGCCCAGGATCACATGAAACAGATTCGCCTGAACAGAATTTATGGAGTCCACAAGAGTTTGGATCCCATGCTTCACCAGGAACAGAGACATAAAGATGATCAGACACCTAACAAGTCTTGGGGTTTTGCTATTCTGGAGGCGGGTAAACAAGGAAGCCCAGATGTGGTTCATGTATTCCGCCATGACATCATACCCAAGATTCTCAATCACCGGGTTAAGGATATGAAATCCTTGCTCCTCGGTGCTGGGTGAGGACACGAGCCTGTTGAATATCCCAAGAACATTTCTTAATCTCCCTTCCCTGTTGAGCTCGTTGGGTGCCTGCTGGAGAAACGACTGGAGCAAACGAACGAGGGCCGGGACGTTTGCAGACTTTTTCCACAGATCGGGCGTCAACAGGATGTCAAATATCTGCATGTAGTGTGCAGGGACAGGAGGCCTGCTTAAATCCACAAGCTGAGCCAACAGCTGGAACGCGTAAGGGAAGAACTCCGTCACATCTTTAGCCAAGATCATCTGGAGGCTCGGTAAAAGGCAGCTTTCAAAGGCTGGAACAAGAGACGGGGTCTTTTCACATGCTCTTCGCACCAGCGTAGCAACCGCCTCAAACAGACAATGGTTGAACACTGGGTTCTTCGGGTTCTCACACACCCTGTTTAGAATCGAGGTCAACCCGGTGATGGAGGGTGACGCCACCTCCGGGGATATATCAGCAACCTGAAGAACCCGCATGATACACCTCATTATATACTGATTCTCCTCTGATTCCGGCTTCTCCAATGCACCAAAAAGATTTGTCATCAAAACCGGAAGAATGGGACCGATGTCCCCTGACGTGTATCTTGCCTGTGAATGCACCCCATTGTTGTCTTTCACAAGCAAAAGCTTCTCGATACAGGTGGCGGCATACGAGTGGACCACGTTCACATCCGAACCGAGAAACCTCACCACATCACCAACGAGAGCCATGGCAATGGGTTTAGGGATCAACACACGGAACATTGTGAAAAACTTCAATGCGCCTGCCTTCAACATTGGGAAAGCATTCACATCTTGTCCCTGTAGCTCCGGGACAATAACTGATCTGAAGAAACTTTCAACATCAACAAGATCGGTTGAGATTGAAGCACCACCTGCCTTTTTTGTGGCAAGAGAGACAACCAAGTAAATGGCACAGTCTTTATACTTCCAGTTACCAGCTGGGTTTTCACCAAACATTGCCAAACAATTGTGTATCTGTGTTGAGACCCTCTCTGTGATCTTCTGTTTGTAGTTTCCAGCAATACCCTTGAGAAGCTCACACGCAATTCTCCTTCTTGTATCAAGGTCACTCCCTTCCATGTCTCTCCTAATAAACTCCACATAATTCATCTCAAACAGCTCTTCATCCTCATCCCTTAACATCACATTCGGAATAACAATACTCTGAGTAATCTGCTGCAATATCTCGTCACCAGCAAACAATTCATGGTGTACACTTGTGCTGACAATCGTCAAAAACTTGATGGCAGTCACAGTCAGCCGTTCACGGCTGGGTGATGCTGATGCAACTACAAGGAGACTCCAAACAGCTTCTACAAACTCTTTTAAGTACTTTTGGAACAGTTCCTCCTCTTTCTCCATGTAATGGCTTATATTTTCACACACAGCTGCTCGTAGCTCATCAACAACTGAAACACCATCTGTACCCATATCCTCTATAGCTGGATACCTCACAGTCAGATAATTCTTAAACTCTTTCATCCATTTATCTGCATTATCCTCAAAATACTCTGGCAAATCCAAAAAGTTGAGCGAATAAAAAATCCTAAAACAGATCCTCTGTGCTTCAATCAACTGACGGAGTGTTGCAGCAGACCCAGCAGCCTCGTTTATCTTGCCCGAAATACTCACAACAGTACTCGACAATGGTGCAGCAAAGTTATCCAAGCAGTATTTCAAATCAAGCAGTAGGGGATCACTCTTAAACTGATACCGAAATTTTTTAAACAAAGAATTTACAGTAGCAAGAATACCATTAACTGAAGCAAAATCATTCGCGTTGATAGCCGTTTCAAGACTTGCCTTAAGCTCGGGAAGCAAAGCCGGCCACAACCTAGGGAAATCATGGTTCCCAATCACAGCTAGGGCTTCGCTAAGCTGAGCCTGGATTCTCGGGGTAGCTGAGAGCATGAGAGGCACTATTAGAGTCTTAATCTGCTCTTTTTCACTATCGGGAATAGGAGTAGCGGATGAAGGCATCCACCGGGTTTTAAGATGGTTCTTGAAGTTAACAGCGGCGCATTGGCGGATCTGCTCGTCAACGGAAGGTTCAGCAACGAGACGAAGAACGGCAAGGCCGTAGTTAGGATTATCGGCGGCGTCGGACAAGTTTTTCTCAGCGCGGCGGCGGGGTTCTGGTTGAGGGGAGAGTGTACCAAGGAAAGATTGGGACAGAAACTGTAGGGTTTGTGGATTCCACTCCATCTCTAGGGTTTTTACAAGATTTAAGAGCCTGAAAATCAGAAGTATATGAATGAAAATCTACTAAGATTTCAACAGTGATAGGTAATAGGGATCGAAAACTGGAAAGCGGTGAAGAAAAAACGCACCTGCGTAGGAAGAAACGATCGATTTGAAGCGCTGCAGACTGTGAATGAGAAGGAGAAGAATGAGGAATGAAGTGGGACTGGAGCGTGTGTCCAAGAATTTGAAATGAGGAAAGTAAAGGAAGGAGGGACCGAGGGATGAAGGAATATGGGCTTCGTCAAGCCCATTACGATCGATTGTACATTTGAATGTATCAAGTATTTGTTAAAACTTAAAACGCAAGTTACACTACACGACCACAATTTCTTTTTTTTTTTTTTTTTAAACCGGTTCGGTTTGAGTCAATGAAGTGAAAACCGGTTTAGGCTGGATCGGATTGAAATCGGTTAAAACTTAAAATTACCCGGTTAGTCAATGAAATCAAAACTGATGTAGACTGAAACCGATTAAAACTGAAAATTACTCGAATCTATACAAGTTGGTTTTGATTGAAATTGGATTGGATTGAAACCGGTTTCAAACTGATAATCACCCGAACCGGTTTCACCCAAATCAGTTTTAAAACCGGTTTCGGATCGTGAACCAATTTTTTTGTGCACCTCTAAATTACACAACCAAAATCGAGATATTTATTTTTGATTTATTCGCTTATAAACCATCAATCGAGTAAACTAGAGCTAACTACTAAAACAATTAAAAATAAAATTGTATCTATTGACGAGATTTTGTTTACGAATAAGACAATTATCAAACGAGTAGACTATTGCATTATGTTCTCAAGCTTAAAATAAGATTTTTTTTAAAAAGATAAGACAATAGCCGAGCTAGTAGACTATAACACCTAGAGTTTGATATTTAGGGGAATAAAACAAAATTCCTTCTTTTCTTTTTCTTCCATTTCCTTTCCTTTCCCTCCCAATCATCCCACATTTAAGGATAAATTTCAAGGGAAAAAGACTCATCCTAAAGGATACTTGAAACACGTTTAAAATTATTTATAAGGATGACAATTACACAATTTAACTAATACAAAAAGCATGAGCCAAAATAATTCATGGTCATCCTAAAGGATACTTGAAACACATTCACATATGTCTTTGCTTAGAGACATCATTATTAAATGGTATGTCTTAGAGGAGTAACCACTATAGACTTGGTATAATATTGTTAAGAATGGTGGAACGAATCGTTTAAGTTGTGGGGTAATGCCTTGAAAATAATATATGTACGCACTTTAAATTTGGTTTCAAGTATTAAGTTCAAAAGACGCCACACCATATGCAGATATGGAAAGCTCCCACATTGTCTTATATTACGATTTGGGGGATGTGATGTATGTGTAAGATGCGAAGAGACAGAATCTCACAAATGTTGATTTGTTACACATCGTAAAGAAACAAAGCCATACTACTTCTATTATTCGGCGGACAATAAAGTGGTTGTTGTCAAAGGAGATAGCTTCTTGTAGAAATCATTTCTTGCAAAGAAACACTATAAGAGCAAAGTGATAGTTATAAAATTTCTAGATACACAAAATGTAGAATTTTCTAGTGAACTAATACTAACCCGAGTTCTTGTTGATGTTCCTTCGAAAACATTTAAACATATCAAATATTTTTTGGCCCTCCTGTGATGGTTGGAAGCTTCATGACGCTTTATTCCCAACAGATATATAGGGAGACCTTCTTTGTGGTGGAAGCTCCTTGGGGGGATGTTAGCAGAGACGCATGGTTTATTAGCGGGTTGGCCATGAAGAGAGCGGTCAATGTTGCTGATTTGATGGGTCTTCTTCCACAACTATGTGACCTGCAGAGTGAGCTCATTTTGCTTCGATCATGTATAGGTATTGTAAAACTTTTCTTTGGTTTAAAGACATGTCAGTCGGTGCACATAGAATAGGCAGCTTTGTTCTTTGACAAAGGATCGCTCAACTCTATCGAGGATATGGTGATATGTGGAGGCCCTTTCTTCGGATACATCTAGTGGTGTCTGGCTTCCTTGCCTATTCGTTTCGGTGCTTTGGGTTTGTACTCGGCATACGAGGTTTCCTCCTACGCATTTGTAGCCTCAAGGGCCCAATCGTGGGCATTAAAAGACCACATCTTACGTGACAGTGGCATATGTGGTATGGATTCTGATTACTTATGTGTTATGGCTCGTCTCCGCGATATAATTTCGGGATTCGACTGTAGCGGTTTCACTAATAAGGACACCCCCCTCCCTAAATCCCAAAAAGCATTGGCATGTGCCCTTTTTAGCAAAATCGTCAAAGATATGGAAGTCGACTTCGACATGACTGTGAGACAGAAAGCAGTTTTTAAGTGTCTTCAGGCACCTCATGCTCAGGATTTTCTGCTAACTATCCTTATTGATGGTCTTGGCCGACATATGTTCCCTATAGAGTATCGAACTATCCTTCGCTACCGCCTCATGATTCCTTTATTCCCAGCTGACGAGATATGCCTAATTTGTCATAAGGCATGTTTTGGACACTTTTAGGGAACATGCAGTTCATTGTAGAGAGCTCCCTGGTTTCAAGTATTGACATGATGTGGTTAGGGATGTTCTCTTTAATGTTTGTCGGCGTGCTGTTATCTCTACGAAGAAAGAACCGCCCATGAACTTTTTGACGAACCCACAGGATGAAGATCTACCCTCGGGCCGACTGACATTTTGATCTTTAGATGGGTAGGAGGGAAGCACACATGTGTGGATATTACAAGGGTCTCTCCTATCATCGGTTTGAGGAGTGGGGTTTTCACAGCAGGGCACGCCGCTTTAAAAGTTGATGCATGCAAAGTGGCAAAGAACGAGAATGCATGTATAGAAAACCAACATGTGTTTGTACCTTTTGCATTTGATACATTTGGTTTTCCCGCACCAGAGGTCGTGGAGCTCCTCAACAGAGTCCAACGAGTCATGCATTCTAATGACATATCTCCTAGATCCACAAATGTTGTTTTCAGAATAATTAGATTTGTCATCCAGAAAGGGCTAGCAGTGCAGCTTGTTGCCCGTTTGCCTTCCATCGATATGTATTGAACTTTATTTAGTTAAATTCAAATTTAAAGTCCCCAAAAAATATCAGCCTATTCATACAGTAGGGGTGTCATATGTTGGCACGACGAGACAAAAATACACAAGAAAAAACGACATGTCGGACGAAATTGGAATTGGAATTCGTATATGTTTTATGTTTGTCTTTAGTGTAAAAAACTTGATGTTATGTCGTGTCGTCCATGTTCGTATTCGTGGTAAAATTCAACAGAAAACAGACACGATATTAACATGTGTTTGTTGTTTTTCTATGTGTTTGTAACACCCTGTTTCAAGTCATTTCATAATGCGGGGCCGTGACCCGAAGATCAAGTATCATAAGGCTTCAAGATTTCATAAAAATAGGTTTAGACCCATTTGGTTGTGAATAATGTAGGATTTGGGTACCAAGTATTCGGTGTGTGCTTTGGAGCCCAAGGGTATGACAGTAAAGTGATGGCTCGGTCCTTTCATGAATGTTGGAATTAAGTTCGGAAGGTTTTAAGGCAAAAGAGATTAGATTGTGTTGTAAATCTCCTAATTAACTTTCCGTGGATATAAAGATCATCAAAAATGGAGTTGGAGCGCAAAAGTTATGGCCATCGAAAGATAGATCAGTAAGGAGCATGCGTGTGTCGCACCCCCAAACCAAATTGGCGGAAACATTCGGGAGCGGAGGAAGTCATGTACAGTATCATAAAAATGCATCATAGTAAACAAGCAACAACATCATCCATTGCATTAATAATATAATTTAATACAAGTGTATTATGTATAGTTGTAAGAGACCAAAAACATGTAAACAAAATAAAGACGAGTTATGAGTATGCTTGGTCTTCTCAAAACTTGATCATCGATACCTGTCTACTGTCGACCTAAGAATACAAGTTATTTTGAAACCGTAGATCAGTATTTAAGCTGGTGAGTTCATAAGTATTTTAGTGATAATTGTTTGTATGGTTTGATGAAAAGTGTTTGTAAATGTTTGATGTAAAAGTTTGTAAAAGTGTTTGTATGCGTTTGAAATCTCCTAGAAAATCCTATATTTCTACTAGTATGGAAAGTAGTCTTCTACCAAGACCCAACTGTTTTATATGTTTGTTTCTCTTAAAATGATGTAATGTAGTCTTCTACCAAGACCCGACCTTTTTGTATGTTTGTACTTGAAATAGTATGTAATGTGTGTTTTCCGAATGTTTATGACTATCTTTTCTAGAAAGTAGTTTCATTTCTTTTTATGTGAGAGTATCACTATATAAATGAAATGAGGAAAATGAAAGTGTACAGTAATGTTGTATAAATTACCTACTGAAACACTAATTACCTTAAACCCTTGGCCTTTCGGCAAACTGTAGCGAACAGTCGGGATGCGGGCTTGTCGGTCCCGTATAGATCTATACACACAATGTCTGCTCTCCCTCCAGGAGACTCTGGTTACAAAACGTGACACAACAAATTTGTTGTTGTGTCATGAAGTAGACTTAAAGTTATCTTGTTCTTGTAAAGGATGTATGTTCCTTTCTGTACTTGTTATTGTATGTTCCTTTTTGTTCTTGTTATTGTTTGTTCCTTTCTGTTCTTGTTACTGTTTGTTTGAACTGACTCATGTATGAACTGACTCTAGTAAGTACTGATTTATGTAAGTTTCAATGTTCTAGACATAGTAAGTAGTAATTCCCTAAACTATACCTATTATAATTTACTAGTAACTTCTGTAGTTTGACTAAATGATCATGATTGTATGCCCTTGCTACCCAAAGGCATTAACTGATTGGTAATACTTTTATATCTATATACATATACATAATATATAACTAAGATTTATACGACAATCGGACAAATAACCGATACCTTAAGTCCACATCCAAACAAGGAAAAGGAAATAAAGCGAGTTATCAGTCATAAGTCCTTTAAACATTATTTATATAACTATACATATATAGAAATGCTTTTAACAATATCAAAGTTTTAAAACGAAGTTTTGAAATACATTTGAAGAGTTTAATAGTTTGAATAAATACTGATGACTTGATGTCAGTTTATAAAATGATTTGAAACAGTTTGTTTGATAACACAGTTTGAAGTATAAGAAATCATTTGTTTGATAGTTATAAATCACGTGTGATTGATTATATAAATATTATGTTTTCTACTTGTACCCCCCCCCCCCCCAATAAAAGCATTTAAAATC